CAACATGGCCAAGTGCAAGGTCCTGCACCTGGGCAGAGGCAATCCCAACCACAAATACAGGCTGGGCAGAGAATGGCTTGAGAGCAGTCCTGAGAAGAAGGACTTGGCCATGTCAGTCAGTGAAAACCTCAACATGAGGTGCTTGCAGCCCAGAAGGCCACCCACATCCTGGGCTGTATCAAAAGAAGTATGGCCAGCAGATCAAGGGAGTTGATTCTGCCCCTTTACTCGGCTCTGGTGAGTCCCCGCCTGGAGTACTGTGTCCAGCTCTGGGGCCCCCCAACACAAAAAGGACATCGAGCTGTTGGAGAGGGTCCAGTGCAGGGCCACAAAGATGATCCGAGGGCTGGAGCACCTCTCTTACAAAGGCAGAGCTGAGAGAGTCGGGGCTGTTGAGCCTGGAGAAGAGAAGGCTGTGGGGGGAACTTACTGCAATCTTCCAGTTCCTGAATGGGACCCACAGGAAAGCTGGGGAGGGACTTTTTACCAGGGCAAGTAGCAATAGGACAAGGGATAAATGGCTTCAGACTTGAAAAAGGTAGATTTAGACTAGACATTAGGAAGAAATTCTTTACTGTGAGGGTGGTGAGACACTGAACAGGTTGCCCAGGAAACTTGTGGATGCCCCCTCCCTGGAAGCGTTCAAGGACAGGTTGGACAGGGCTTTGAGCAACCTGGTCTAGTGTGAGGTGTGTCTGCCCATGGCAAGTGGGTTCGAACTGGATGAGCTTTAAGGTCCCTTCCAACCCAAACCATTCTTTGCTTCTACAATAATACAGAGAAAACATTTGCAAAATAATAAACTACACATTTGAAGAAAGCATGAAGTACTATTAATGGAAGGGGAACAGGAAAAAAACTCACCAGTATTCTTCTGATTTTGAAGGTGGGAAGTACGAAAAGGAGCATGCCTATACATGGAAGGAGGCTTTAAGCAGACCAGAGAGTACTTTAGAAATTGCTGTTAGTTTGTAGCAAGTGTAAGCAATATATTTGGTTTGGATGTGATTTTGTGAAATTCTTGTGAAATGGCTTCAGCAGTATGTGATAATAGCCCTTAGTGGAAGTCATACTAAAATCTACTTTAAGCCTCAGATGAAATTACTTTTGCATGGAGCAGAAGTAAGGGGCAGGAAGGGGTGTAGGAGAATTTAGGTGACAAGTGAAAACAACTTGCCTAAAAAACTTATTTATGCTGCAGAACTGAAGAGAATCTAATTTGTCAAGGTCCTGTGCAACAACAGAGAACCTATAGAGCCATTTAAGTGAAGGCTATGAGTAAAATAAACGTGGTAACAATCTGCAGAAATTAACATGAAAGCAAACATTCTTCAGGCTTTCAAACAATAAAACATTCAGATCCTAAAACTCTATGTGAGAGAAATTACTTAGTTTATATTTCTCATATCAGTTGTGCAATTACAAGCTAATCTAATATTATGGTTGCTTAATATATCATTATGAAATACTACTGTAACATGTAAATGTTTACATGTAAATATGTAATTTTACTTCTTTTACAAGAAATTAATCAATAGGAGAAAAATTTACAAAAATCTGTCAGTGTTTGACAAAAAGCTCATCTGTAATTGAGACAAAAAATTAAAGTATTAAATCAGAGTATCACAGTGCATTTTTCCTGTTCAGTTACCCTGACATTCTACAGAGACTAAATACAGGCTGCAAATGCAGTCATCAAATCAGACTTAAATGGATACTTTCACAAAAAGCCTCTTTCTTGTTGTGACGGTTCGATTCTGTAACAATCTTTGTATGCTTGTCTTAGAAACGTAACAACTTCAGGTTCTTCCCATCTGTACATATGAATACCCAAATAAATCAAGGCTACTAGATTTCTTGCTAAACTGAATTTCTTATTCCTTAGGATCTTGAAATGACAAATGCTAAGAAAGTAGAAATACAAAATGCAACCCAACCTCACGACTACATTCAAGTGGCAGAGCTCACTCACTGTTTTTTTACTGGTGTACCATAAAACATAATCAAAATAATAATTTTGCAAAGAACAGAATTAGAGCTGAAATGTATTTCAGGAGTTGGCCTGGAAAGTTTGCAAAGGGTGAAAATAAGAAACTTCCCGTTCATCTAACACATGTAAGTTTTCTCCATGCAAAGCTCTGAAATCACCATTTGTAACCAACAGGAACCCCTGACTTTTACAGCAGAATTGTTTCTGTAAAACTCTACGTGGGATAAGTATAATAAAAAAAACTTATTACAAAGATTTTTCCCTACCCTACTAGGAAAAATAAAAAATTGTCACCAGCAACAGGAATTCCCTCAACAACTGGCACACTTTGAAGTTGCTATTGCTTTTATTTCACAGACCACCACCTGTCACTGTAAACATATCAGCTAATCGCACCAAAAGAGCATTGTATCAGCACATGTATTTACCTACATTGACTCCAGCTGTCAGGGGAAAAAAGAGAATGAAACCACAGCATATATTATTTGCTGCCTGATGCAACAGCTCAAACAATAATAACAAAGCTAGTCATAAAATCCTGAGATTCTGCCACATCTGCTCCACAGACATTTCAGTAGTTCTTTTGCTGTAAATTTAACGGAACTTACGTGGAGGAAAGAACAGACCGCCCAGTGAGAACATTTGTAGTTCAGTGCTTAACGTATAACATACTGCTTGCATATTAGAGCTCAAGCAAATATAACTATCACTGGTATTTCCTCACACACACAGACTACAAATAATAGAACTGAAATCCTACACATACTCTGTTTCAAAACAAGGATGAACAGAGTTGTTAATAAGTTACAACAGTCATGCAATAACAACAGCCAAAAAACAAATGCTAATAAGAAGAATTTCTAAGTTAAAAGGCAATCACCACCACTGCTTTTACTCTGTGACGAGAGAATAGATTCACTCCAGTTTATATAGTAGTATTGTAGATGACATCTGAAAGACCAACCTTGAATCCTCTGAAAATTATTCCTGACTGAGGCAGTTAAAGATGAAAAGAGGCATTTCAGCGGTAACCTACAAACAATGCAATGACAGGGAAGTTTTCTTCAATAAGTGCATATAAAACTTTGTCAGGGTTCATTAGGTTGCTTTATTAAAGAACAATCCAGTGGCATGCAAAAACATACTTTATTAGTTAGATCACTGAACCAAGATTCTTCTTCTGTCTACATTGGATGAAGCAATAATTTGGTAAGAAGTTTTAGAAAAAGAAAAAAGCAGGCTAGCTAGAAGCTACTGAACTTAAAACACAGACTTAAAAAAATCCCCACAACTTTAAGCACAGGATGCATTCAAATCCACCACTAATTTGCAAGTACTTATATTCTGCGCAGGTTTTTTCTGTATTTTGTAGTAAAAGTTCAAGCATAAAAACTTAAAAGTACAAAATCCCTTGAAATCAGAAACAGTACAATTTTTTTTCAACCCCAGCAGAAACTGTCAGTTTTTCCTTACTTTTGGCAATAGTCTGTACTTGTCAAAAACTTTCTTAAAATAAAACAACTGTGTCTGCTAAGCATAAGAGAACAGCATTACTGCTAACAACCTTTAAAGAAATGTTTTTAACACAAAATATTAAGCAATTTTTTTAATTCCAAATTCTGTCTATAACATCACAATGGCACACACATACCTATTATAATTTCATATATTGTTTAATTAAAAATATATTAAAATAATTATAGAATCTAAACAACCTTACTTACAAATGATACATTAAGGTGTACTTTAATTACCAAATGATTTTATTCAAGTAGACAAAGAATAATTGTTTATAATAAGATATGCTCATTTCACTTGCCCACCCTCCCCTTTTAAACTTTTCCTAGCTCAAGTTTAGCAAAGATTCAATCAAATGATCAGGAAGCCACAAAGTTAAGAAAACAATCAGACAGATCTTCAAATATGTATGGAAAAATCCTCAAGATGCTGAAGTTCTATTACAAATGAAACCTGGTATCTCTAGACACAGAAAGTGACAAACCCAGCTTTGCCAGCGGTAGGTAACTGACACGCTTTAGGTATGCAACTGCTCCTTAGCGGAGGGAGATGTGCCACAGGAAAGGGCATGCACAAAGCACATTACTAACAAGGAAATCACTGTGATTAGGATTCATAAACTTCCCCTACAACAAAGAGGTGACAGGAAGATTTCTACCTGTCTTCACAGCCTGTTAGAGTCAATGTAATACTTTGTGAAGGTTTCTACTACCAGGAATGCTTGGATGTCCCCTCTATTCAAATAATGTTGTGAAAAAAAGTTAGAAAGGTCCACAAGGAGATGCTCCTTATAAAGCTTTGACATCTTCTCCATTATTCTTCAACCCCCTTTCCTTGCCCGTCACCATTTGCATGCAATTTTCTTTTCAAGAGAAAAGAAAACCTGGACTAAATCTTAGAAAGGAAATTAAGTATTCTCAAAATAAGTCTCACATGTATAAAACAGAGAGACTGTAAGATTCATTAGATGCTTGGTCTCTTGTATGCATATGACCACCGCTTAATGAGCTCTCTGAAAGTTTTTTTCCTGTGACCAAAGCTCTACTTTCCCCTAAAAGCAGGTTAAACTTGGCATTACCTAGAAGTAAATATACAACAGATAACTTTTTGTGGTATTTATAACCACAGTTTGATTGTCAGGTTTGCAAAAGTTTAAAAATTGGGTTGGGATGTAAGGTAATGCCTGTTAAATTCATTACTTGAGACCTCAGTAGTGAAGCACATCAGTTTTAGCCATTTCACTTAGATGTAGATTTTTAAACAGAGATGAATGGCTTATGCTGTGAAACTGTTAGCACTAACTATAATTTTGTAACTATGTTCACTTTCAACAAACTACATAGTCCATTTTTAAACTTCACTCCAGAATATAGTGCTAGTCTAAAATAATTCAGAAATAAGTTACCATGATAATTGCATTAGGAAACTACAGATTAAGCTTAGTTGCACTACACAAAGCCATAATAAAATAGAAGATATTAAAAACAGTGCAGCATCAACATACCTTTGTACTTGTTCATACAATTATGCAACCGTGAAAATAAAAAAGAATTTTAAAACGTAACACCTGAAGAACCTTAGCACTGTCCTCCTCAAAGTTCAGATGTTAACAGGACAAAAGAAATTAAATGCAATCTACTATTTGCTCAGTTGGCTGACTTAGCCAAGGGCTAGAAACCATGAAGTGAAACTGAGTGAATCCTGGAATTTTATTACATGCAGCACCTAGGAAAGAAAAAGAAAAAAAAGTACAATTTGCTACATTTAGTATTAGTGCCTTTGTCATTGTACTTTATAATCTAAAGACCCAGTTACTAATTCTATTACAATGAAGTAATTATTCTTTTACTATGTTTAACTGAAGACATCCTGAAAGTATTTAATTTAAGTAAAAATACAATGCTACTAACTGCTGTAGTGCAATTAATGCCCTCATAATACAATTCAAAACAGTAGCATAAGTTAGGGAAATATCTCTCTTTTTCAATCCTGATTAACTTAATGAGTTCCTCCAACGCTAATCTCTTAAACACAGAACTGTGGGAAATAGGAGATCAAAGAAGAGCAATAAGCAGTCTAACTATATAAGCCATCTTGATTAGCAAATTGTATTTCCTACTGATCTAAGAGTTCACTAATGAGATGCCTAGCACAGTGACTGATCTCAGACTGCTTTGAAGCTATGCTTGACAGTCACATTCTTCCTGCCTTATGTCGAATCTAGGGGAGGCATAAGCATTCTTTTTTTTTTTAAAGCCTTCAAATTAATCATACACAGTTCAGGAAAACACATGAAGGTTGCAAATATTTTTTTATTTTTACTAAGACTTGCATAAATTTTCTGAAATTCTAAGACATCAAAATGCAGAGGAAAAAATAAAATATCTCAAGTCCACACTAGGACACAGTTGCCCTGCTAATCAGCATTTGATATTATGAATGGCCAGTATAGCTCCAGTGTTAAAAGAATAATTTAAGATCTTCAGTTTTGTATTTCTGTGACCTAGTTAGGGTCAACAAGCTTTGTCTTTTAAGCAAAACACATACCATAACTTCCAGTTGTATTGGCACATATAACAGCGCCAAAGAACTTTGGAGAGTACTTCTGGATTCTGGAAATAACTTTCTGACAGGCTATTGTTGGGTCTGTTCCCATCCTCATATACTCCACAGCTTGGTAACTGAAAAAAACCCAACCAAACAACAAAATCAGCTCAACCTGAAACCCAGACAGTTAGCCATACTCAGGTTATATACTCTAAACTATCAGAGAGACTTTTTTTTCTTTGATTAATGGAAACACAAGACAAATAAACTTTAGCCAAACTTCACACTGACAATTATTACCCAAGTTTCACACGAAAAGTAATTAGAAACAGGACTAAAAGGGACTGCAAGATGTCATCTATGCCATCTATCATTCTAAGGCAGGACCAAGCCTGGCATAACTCTGATCCGTGGCAGCAGAAGACGTTAAGCAACAGATCAGTTAAAGAACTGCAAAGAAGCAGTTAAATAGTTAGTGGCTTTTATTTTTCACTGAATGATTAAGTTTGACATTAAAAGCTCCTACTAGTTTTCAAAAAGACAAATGTCAAAGTATTTTTTAAAGAAAACTGACCTTCACCACGACATCACTGATAAATTGATTTCAGTAAGCATTAAAAAAATCTTTCAGATAAAACTTCAAGAAAATGTGTCAATTTTGAAGTTTTCAGAAACTTATTTCAAGAATATGAAAGTACAATGTTTAGATCAAGACTCTGAGCTACTTTCAATTTTTTTGCTAGCCAATTTATAAAAAACCCTTCTTACTCTAAATGAGCAAGTAATCAAAATTAACTTCCTTTGTATCAACAGTATGATTAGACAACTATATGGGCACTGCTTGAGATTAATCAGTGGCATTTCCAAAACATCCTCAGAGGCAAAATAATAACTTTTGTTGTTGTTTTCTTTCAGAACCTGAAGATTAAAAGATAATGTGTAATATAAAGGAAACAACAGTGGGTTTTGTTTTGATGAAGACGCATATATGAAGGACCTACTCGTTACACTACAATTTATCTACAGATAGCATTAACTATACATCTTATCAAAGTACTGCAGAACTTTCATTTTGAGACTCCCTATTATCTTTGATTTATTCTAACAATCAAATATGTTTAAGTTATCTAAGGATAACTATCTGAATATAAAGCTGCATTTCACAGAGGTCTCCACTAATCAGGAACTCAGTAAGATGTTACTATCTCAAAGAAGACAGACAGAAAACATTAGCAATTTTGCCCTTTACTTGACACTTCCTTCACTTCTGGCAGGTCAATTCTATTCTTTGTTTCCATGTGGGAATACCTAAATAACATGGAATTAGGAAAGATCTGTATCTACAAGAAACCTGTGATTAACCATCTAGTTTGAGGTATTTTCTAAAACTCCATTGGTGCCAACACAAAATGCTTTAAGCACTGCAGCCAAAACCTTCAGGCTGCTAAACTTTTACTGATTAACCTCTAGTGGAGCTCAACTCACTGCTACTCTTAGTATCTGATACCTCAGGATAATTCATGAAGTTGTCAATTGCTTTTTATTTCAAGACTGGCTTGGAATAGCTTGAAACTCATAGAGGACGTGAAATATGCAACAGTTAGTAGGCATTCATAACTGCCAGAGTTTCAGAAAAAACACCTAAGTAATATGAAGGCCACTGCTTCCTTCAAGCATCAGAGCCCATTATGTTCAGCACAGACATCCATAACTCATTCCTGTTGAGACCAATCCACAAGAATGACTGTCAAGACTCAGTGATGGAAGCCACATTTTACACAGGTTATGCAACCACGATGATAACACTTAAATGCCTCGTCCAGTTTCAAATTAGATGCAACTACATAGGATTGTTACAGTGACACCTCCCCACCATCCTGAGTAATCTGAGACATCCCTCATCCGTTTTACAATTTGTTACACTTACTTCCCACACAACAAAACACTTTGGAGAAGAAACCTAATCAGTTCTGTTAAAAAGCACACAGGTTGGGAATATACTTATTACCCTGCTGCCTGTTTGCTCACAGCTTGGCAGTATTACGAGGATCTGCCATGAAGATATTTAAGAAGTTACTTCTTTTAAGACAGATCATAAGGATGACTAGACTTTGCTACTGTTCTTTCCCCTTCTATTCCTTCCTTTTCTTTCACTTCAGTGGCCAGTAAGTCGGGCTGTCTTTTTACTCTATTACTTCATTTGCCGAGTTCATTTTGCTAGAGCTAAGTCTGCCCTAAGGACAAACCTGGGTAAGAAGCGCATCATGATATCACCATCCCCAGTGGCTGCAGCTCCTCCAGCTGTACTATCCGCATAGGATCCTGCTCCAGCTATTGGAGAATCTCCGACACGACTGTAGGGAACAATGGGGGAAAAAAAAAACAACACAAAACAAACTAGAAACTGTAATTTACGAATTCCAGGGGGATTGCAATAATGTAATAGCTCTTGGCCTGATATTGGCAAGTTGTTATGACTTGGGCACACTTTTACCTTTGTCAACCTTACTGCCTCCAGCTGGGTTAGCATTAAAGCCACAAGAGAACTTAACAGGTAAAGAGGTCATTCCACTGCAGTCAGAAGTCTTGTCTTGAAACTACTGATAAAAGTGATCTGTGATAGCCTGACTGACCTGCAGCTTAATCCACCTCCAGTGCATGAGTCTCTGGCTTACGCTGACTATAGCTAGGGCAGTAAGGTTCAGCCAGTGGCCAACAGTAAGCAGCTGGGGACATCAGTACATTCAATAATTTGCTGCTAAATCCAGAAGTTGTCTGACTTGGTTGACAGACAAGATTCCTAACTGGGTAGGAATGCAGGCCCAGGGCTCTGATTCTATGTACCTCTCTTCGGAAACTATGGACCTCTCCAAACTGCTCATTTGTCTCTGGTGCTTTGCCTTACAACTGTGCCACTTGTTTGTGTTCCTGAATGGTGAATTAAGCCAGCTGAAAAACAAGCATTCCCTCAAACAAATCATCTTGCAACTGAATCAGTTTCTCAGGATTTACAGCAGTACCCAGAAATAAACACCACCATTTTTGATCATCACCATCTAAAACAAGGTAAGCTTTACATAAACAAGCTTACCATAGGAAATGAAGTGGGGAGAAAAGCTTTTTTTTTTTGTAAAACCAGAGATACTAACCCTGGAATTTTGTGGACTGCCCCATTAGTAGATGTCCCAGAAGCCACAGTTCCACTCTCACCAATTACAACCATACCTAAAATTTTCAACAGAGATGAAACATATTCAGAAACACTCCTAACAAATTTTTTAAACTGGCACTATGGTTATCAAACAGAACCATGAACAGAACCAGACCATTCAAAGTACTGATATCCTGAAAAACAGAAAAGTCATACTCTTCAAAAACCCACATCTTCAAAAACACATATGGAAACTTTTTGGGCGTATTACAGGAGCTCAGAATGGAATCTAAAACAGTGAGTGTCACCCTGTTCAGAGCTGTATGTTACTGCTGCCCATGCAGCCACTGTCTCCTGATATACACTTGTTAACCTGTAGACAAAAAGTACCTGGTGTCATGACATCTTGCACCAGTACCATCAGAACAACAAAGTCTGAAAATTACAAATGGTGCTTGAGGGACATGAAAAAAACCCAAAGAAATCCAAATCAGAAGTATGTGCTTAAATTTGGCAGAAGTTGAAATACTGCCTATCAAAGAAATAAGAATTGCACAACAGCCAATCAAAGGTGTGGATGAGCCTACTCGTTGCTAATTTTGTGCTAGTAAGGAAGCCACTACCTCAACAGAGCAGCTTAGATTGGCACTTGGAACAGGATTTGGGATCGGCTGCTTCTCCATAAAACAGGACTCCATCTCTTCAAGAGAGGATTGGAATTGCTGATGTCATCAAACTCCAGTACAAAGTGAGAGCAAAGAAGACGAATTCAAATTATCTGATCTCACTAAGCAGTACCTCCTTCTCATAGAATAGTTTCCTGACAAGTAGAAGCTAGAAGCATAGAGGTGCTGACTCTATGGCCACCATTAGCCTCTGGACTGGAAGGCCATCAGCTCCTACCAACTTCTTAAATGCATTCTTGAACGAAGACTCCTCTCAAAATGTGTTAGTCCAGAAGACATTTCATATATAAAACAAACAATGGGGTGGGAGAACTTGAAGTACAAATATAAGCACCATCATTTACTACAAAGCAGCTTAGAAGTACTTAATGATATATCAATTCCTGAATTGTATTTAACAGATCCTCCTCTCATCCTGACACTGCACAATTTTTGAGTTTGCTAGAACACACTGAAGACTGTATATTCCAATAAAGAAAGCTATCTACCAAGGTAAGAATTTGGTAGGTTGCCTGACTTCTGTAGAAGATTAATTGGTTATTAGCAGGGTGGACTGGAAGCAAAGAAGAAAGATTCACACTTGAAACAACTATTTCATTCTTGGTATTGCAAATACTGCCAGGCAAAAAGTTCTAAACTGCTAAACTGAGAAAAATCCAGACAAAACCAAAATGTGTAAGTTTCAAGACTACAAAGTATAGAGCTTTGAAAGACACGAATCTGTAACTGCTCCAGTCCTTTGTCTGATCTGCTCATTAATCATCTCATAGGCTTAGCAATTAACAGTCCTCAATCAGCAAACTCTTAGAAGTCTTTGGGGACTACTGCTGCTAATCTGGTATAAGCACAGGAGTTCCTGTAGAAACTCACTGATTTAGTCAAAATCCAGAATAGAAAAAAATGAAAGTAAGCTTTATTTTATAAGTTTAAAGACTATTTGACAAACATTGCTTTTGGCTGGCAACAGGACCAAGTGTTTGCTCATTTCTTCCACCACTACAAAGCCTTTTAAGTTGGTCAGACAGGTACTTGACCTAAGTTAATCATAATCAAGATAAAAATAATTATTTTTAACCTTGATCAGTTTTCCAAGCATCCATAGCCACCCAAGCAATTATGCCAATATATCTGAGGGAAAAGCAGTAGGGCAATGAACAAGTAATTAAGGGCAAAAAATGAAGCAAGTGGCTGTGCAACCAGTCCACTGGAAAACAAACCTGAAAAACAAATCCTACTTTTAGGCACTCCATCTTAACATCGAAGGAACAATCTTGAAACCACTATAAACAGGAAATAATGCCTATATGAAATGTTTTTCTTTAAATTCAGTATGATTTAATGTGTAGGGGAATGAGGGAGAAAAAAAAAGCATCAGTTACCAAAAGTCATTACCAATAGTATCATGATTATGAACACTTCTCTCCAAGATGGTCTGTTCTTTGCAAGTTACTTTTTCAGGCCGTTTGTATGGTCCACAGGATTTTGAAGAGTCTGGCACCACATTCTGTAATTATTTTGTTATCTGCATGAATAATATATTACGCTTCATTTACAGATAAACTTAAAAACACCCCAACCAATACCTATAATCAGACGCACAACTATCAGATGCCCAATACTTTAATTATACAGCTGTATTGAAATCTGGTATTATATGGTAAAAAGTTTTTTCCATTAGGAAGTTACGTTGTTCAAGTTAAAGATTCATCTTTGCTCAATAGGCTGGTCAAAAAAAGGTAATTCTTCAGCAAAATGAAGAAAATTTTCAAGTTAAAAAAATAACCAGATGAACTGAGCTTGTTTTACTCACGTCAAGTCAAGATAATATTGTCAAGTCAGTACCATAGTCAAGATATTTCCCAACTGGAAAACAGAATACGTCTTGAATTAAAATGGTTCAGCAATGCAGCATTTCATATCCAAGAAATAAGGAAGACAGTGTGCAAGCATGTAGAAATCTGCAACAACAGCTGCACTAATATGATGTGTTCACAGGTCTGCATTAAGCCTCTCTTAGTATTTAAGGACCTTATTTGGTACCGTAAGATTTTCTTTGAAATTTATACATGCATCAAAGAATACACACACTGCTTTGCGTAGTTTGAGAAGTCCTGTCCAAATTTAGAGCTAAAAAAAAAATAAAAATTCCCACACCAAAACGCTACCACAGCAAGGTCAAAACTAGCAGGATCTAAGAAGAGCTAGACACATCTCTTCCTGAGTCTACCAAATGTTTGGCAATTCCAAGTTTGTTCTATATAATAAGCAAAATTTTGTTTTTCTTTACATGTAAAGCATAACTTCAATATAAGCTGAAAGGAAGAGGCAATACTGCATTATTGACTTTCCAAACCCCTCCTTCATCATCTCCACCACTGCACTGTACCTTCCAGTAGTTCGGCTGACAGCTCTGATTAAGCCAGTTTGAATACATCAAAAGAGATTTTGGGGTAGTTAAATCTTCATACGGAAACCCCATTCTTACAGCAAACAAGGAGGCTAGAAAAGCAACAACAAAGCAAAAAACATTAATTTCTTCACTTTTTTATATATTTTATGATAATGCATTCATGTAACGTTATCTAGAAATCAAGAAATTCTACATCCTTTACGGAGATTAGAAATACTTCTTCAGAGAGCAGTATCAGCCATTATAGCAATGAACAATCGCAAAAACAAACTCTCCCTTCACTGGCACTATCAAGTTTCCTCAATTCACTGTAACTATGTTAACACATGTAAGTTTTACCATTGAAAGAGAAACAAATTCACCTCTGTTTATTAACTGGACACAAATAACCTCGAGCAAGCAGGGCCTGGACTGTGTGTGTCACAGAAATATTTAAATACATGATACAAATAATAGTATATTTTCCTTAAAAAGCCAGTCTTTTATGAAATGTAAGTAACATAATGGCACAATATTTGCCACTGAAACACTGATGCTTGCAGAAATCAAGCCACCAGCTTACATCATATTCCACTTCTGGCAGCTTTAAAAGTGACTGCTGCCTTGTTTTGAAAAACAATGTGTGTTAAGGGAGCAAAAGAAATACCAACTCAAGCAATGACAGAACGCTGCACTTCTATGAATGGCTTTTATAGTTAGGGAAAAGGGAAAAAGATCAAATGCTCTTTCCTCTTTTAGATGTAGATACCTTTGATATAACCTAGTAAATACTGTTAGTAGATCAGATGGTTTAACAATTTTTATTACCAGTCCTTGAAAATAATGTCACTATAATGCACAGCTGAACAAGCTTCTCCAGTCCAAGAACTAAGAAAAGCCTTCAATTATTTCTGGACAGCTTTTCTGTGTTCTTCTTAAAAATGGATGCAATTAAAATCCCTTTGCACTCAGCAAAAGAAAACTGACAGCTTCAACTAAACAGATATTTATTTCCTTACGTTTAGAACAAACAGTCAGTTCGGGGTTTTTTTAAAGGTAAAATTGTGCTCGTGCATGTTTGTCAGTCCCTCTTTTATGACTTGAAGCCTTGTTTCTATTCCAGGAAGCAGTGCTAGTCATTTTTACTCTCTGAACTTTTTACTTGGATTATTGGTCTAAGTATTGCTAGGACAAAATGGAAAAGGTCAGGCACACTGTGATTATGAAACTTCCCTATTTGTTGGAGACAAACGTGAACATTTCTTGCCAGATTATTACCAAAGTTATTCTTTTTTTTCTCGTCACTTGTAATCATAGAATGGTTTGGGTTAGAAGGGACCCTAAACCTCATCCAGTCCAACCTCCCTGCCATGGGCAGGGATACCTCCCACCAGACCAGGCTGCCCAAAGTCCTGTCCAACCTGGCCTTGAACACTTCCAGGGAGGGGGCATCCACAAATCATTCTGCACTGAATGTCCCTCACCAGATTCAGTTTTACATTTGCATACATGGCCTTTATTGCCAGTTTTCTATGACCTGTCTTATAGAAATTAGGCAATGAATGGAGAAAGCAGCTCTCTTAACACTGCAAGAACTGATCATTGTTGTTATCTCTATCTGTTCAAAACCAGCTACACCATCTCATTTTTATGTACATCACTGTCATTATAAACTTTAGCTGTAAAAACAAACCAACTTTGGTTATATTCTGGCTTACAACTACAACAGCAAGAGTAAAACAAAACATCAGGTTTGACTTGCATAAGGTTTTTTTGTTCAAGACAGATTTTATCACCACTACACTGTCATTCTCTTCACTGAGTATGGCTCAAGCTTTCATCATAGCTTGCAATCAGCTAAAAATTGTTCACATGTAAAGCACAGAATCAGCTTCCTCATGTGATACAATACAATGATTTCTTCACTTCTCTAATGTCTATTCTCAGAGCCTCTTTTTGCATGCTTTTTGGGGCAGGCAAAATAATGCAACTTAGTAAATTATAATTTACTGTGTGAAAAATATGCAACAATATGACTTCAGACTTTAAAGGCTATAAAATGTGAATGATTTTGTTAACTGGATAATTATTTCAGTGTTCCCAGCCTCTGACTCAACTTTTCATTTCCATACCTGCTTGAGTCACACTATCAGATATTTTTTACTTACTAGTTGTGTTTAGGCTTTCTTGCCCCCTCCCTCCCCAACACTAAAAACACTGAAAAGGAAATAATCTAAAAAATATATAAGAGAACAGGTACAGACATTTGTGAAAGTTAAAAGACTAGCAATTCTTTTAGCTTAATCAATAATCAGAGGCACAGCTATTTCAAACAACATGTGCTGCAGGGACAACCCTGCAAGGCATAAGCAATCCAGGTGGTTTCTGGAGAGCATCAGTGTGACAACTTCCTGACACAAGTGACAGAAGTGCCAACAAGGAGAGCTGCTCTGTTGGATCTCATACTTACAAACAAGAAAGGGCTTGCTGGGGATGTGAAGGTTGAAGGCAGCCTTCACTGCACTGACTGTGACATGGTGGGATTCAGGATCCTGAGAGGAGGAAGCAGAGCAAAAACCAAACTCGCAAGCCTGAACTTCAGGAGGGCATAATTTGGCCCTGCAGAAATCTCCTTGAAAAAGTCCCATAAGCCCTGAAGGGATGAAGGGTCTGAGAAAGCTGGCTGATATTCAAAAGGATCACCTCCTCCAAGTTCAATAGCAGTCTATCCCAACGAGAAAGAAACGTGGCAGAAATGCCAGGAGGCTTGCATGGATGAACAAGAAGTTCCTGGTAAACGCAAAGATAAAATAGGAGTATACAGAAGGTGAAAGCATGGAAAGGTAATCTGGGGGGAATACAGAGGCACTGTATGATACAAGGCTCTGGTGATACAAGGTATGGAAAAGGCTCATGTACTGGATGTCCTCTTCACTTCTTCTTTACTAGTAAGACTGGCCTTCAGAAATCCAAGGCCCTGGAGATGAGAGGGAAAGTCTGGAGCAAGGAAGACTTATTCTTGGTGGAAGAGGATCAGGTTAGGCAATACTTCAGCAACTTGGACACACACAGTTCCATGAGCCATGATGGGATGTAACCATGAGTGCAAAGAGCCCTAGCTGATACCATTGCAAGACCACTCTCATCTATTTTCAAACTATCACTGTGACTGGGAGAAGTGCCTAAAGACTGGAGTGAAGCGATTGCCACTCCTGTCTTCAAAAAAGGCAAGAAGTATGACCTGGGGAACTACATGCCAGTCAGCCTCACCTCAATCATTGAGAAGATGATGGAGCAACTAATCCTGGAAACCACTTCCAAGCACACGAATGACAAAAAAGGTGCAGTCAGCATGGCTTCACAAAAGGGAAGTCATGCTTGATCAGCCTGGTAACTATCTATGATGAAACAACTGGTTTGGTAGACAAGAGGAGAGCAGTGGATATTGTGTACCTTGACTTCTGTAAGGCTTTTGACATAGTCTCCTCTAAGATCCTCATAGAGAAGTTGATGAATTATTGGCTGGATGAGCAGACAGTGAGGTGGACTGAAAACTGAGTGATTGAGCTCAGAGGGTGGTGATCAGCACTATGAAGTCTAGTTAGAGTCAGTAACTAGCAGTGTACCTCTGGGGTCAATATGGGGTCCAATACTGTTCAATATCTTCATTAATAGTCTGGATGAGGACCAGAGTGTACACACCCTCAGAAAAATTTGCAGATGATAGAAAACTGGAGCACTGGGAGGTTATGCTGACATCCAGTTACCTCGATAGGCTGGAGAAACGGGCTGAGTAATCCCAGGCAGTTCAGTAGAAGTGCAAAGTCCTGCAGCTGGGAACAACCCCACGCACCAGTATGTGCCTGGGCCACCCAGTAGTAAAGCAGTTTGGCAGAAGACCTGGCTATGAGGCACAGCAAGCTGCATGTCAGCCAGCAGTACAGGCTGGGCTCTGGCATTAGGAGAAGTGTTGCCAGAAGGTTGCCTCCCTCTACTCAGCACTGGGAAGGCCACACCTGTGTCCAGTTCTGGGCTCCCCTATACAAAAGGGACATGGACATACTGGAGACAGTCCTGTAAAGGACCACAAAGATAAGTGACTGGAGCATCTCTCCTATGAGGAATGGTTAAGAATGCTGGGACTGTACAGCCTGAAAAAGGCTCAGAGTGGATCTCATCAGTGTTTAAAAATATCTGAAGGGAGGGTGGAAAGAAGATCAAGCCAGGGCACTTTCAGTCGTGCCTAGTGACAGGATGAGAGGCAGCAGGCACAAACTGAAACACAGAAGGTTCTCTCTGAACAGCAGGAAACAATTCTACATTCTGAAGGTGACTGAGTCGCCCAGAAGTTGTGGAGTGAGTATCTCTCCTTAGAGATATTAAAAAGCCTTCTGGACATGGTACTAGGCAATTAGCTCTAGGTTGTTCTGCTTGAGCAGAGGGGGTTGAACCAGAAGACCTCAAGTCCCTGCCCACCTCAACCATTTTGTGTTTCTGTAATACATCCTTTTCCTTAAGTTCTCTACATACAGAAAGTTTTAAAACACGCAAACTTTATTTTTTGAGTCAAACTAAACAGACCTTCACCATAGTGAAGACTATGCCAGGTGTCATGGCGCTATAACAGATTCTATCTTTTTTTTTTAACGTTGAAAATGAAAATTTCACGTTACTTCTATTAAAACTTTACTGCCAGCCACAACACACTGGTCACACATGTAAAAATAATCAACTAAACAAAATGAAGACATGCCATAGCTATCTTTCTCCTTTCTAGTGTCAGCCACTCACAGAAATGAATTTTAGGAGACAAGAAGACTTTTCCTGGATTATATTACTAAATATATTCAACTAAAAGTGCAGTTTAGTTACTGGAGAAAAAAGAAAGGAATAACCTCAGCAATGTTGCATCTTGAATAAAAAAAAAAAGCCTGCAAAGATTATATACATTTATATGAAAATGTTTTACTATTCTAGCTAGTTTTTCTCATGAAAATGTAAATATTTTTATTTAGAAAATAAACTGTCATTTCTCTCATATACTGATTTGAAGGTTCAAATGTATTCTTCTGAAGCTATAGCTCTATTTTCTCTTTATCACACCTGGTAATGACGACAGTTTTCTTTATCCAAGTTACTATTTCCACAGAAAATAGATTCATTCACAAGAAAGATTATTCTTTCTCAATTTCTCCACTGCTGTGATTCATTCACTAACATTTATTACCATGCTCTAATTTTTACTCAGATACATCTTCAGCTTTTCTGCCTTTTTTTGCCACAGTTTCTTCTGAGGAAGTTCTCACTGACAGCAAGGACTCAGCAACAGCCTTGTCCACATGACTCCACCATGCAAAAAGCTATTTTCTTAGGCTAGAAAATATATTTTAAATCAGTGCTTCAAATCTTCTGTTTCTTCATCTTCCTTAACTTTTCTGCTCATTCTACCAATCAAAAGTTAAAAATATTTTGATAACTATCAACGAGGAAAGGAGTATTACAAGCATTTCTTCCTCCTCTATTTAACACTTCACCAATTTCTTTTTCAGCATCACCTGTGAAATCTCTCTTACCAAACCGACTTGTAACCTAATCATAGCCAACTGCTTGAATTAAATAAAATCTGCAAATCTCTCTCTCTTTTCAGACCTTCTGTCAAATACTGACCTCACCTTCCTCTATCGCCTATTTTACTCTATCAAAAAATGGCTGCTGCACTTATTTCTCTATCATTCTGTACACATTGATTCCTTCAATAATCTTTTATTTCTTCTTACCTATTTCAAAGCACTTGACTCATCCTCAGATATAAGTTTACACACTTATCTCTGCATTTCTTTCTGAGCAGGCACATACACTTTAAAAGTCTTTAACTGTGAGCCAAGTAACCTTCCACTCACTCCTCACATACCTCCCTGGAATGTACAGCAGTTTGGAAACCAGTATTATTCTAACAGCAGCAGTTCATACTTTAAAAGCCTAACTATTCCTCCAGTTTGATATCACTCTTTTGTTTTGCCTAGGAGTACAGCTCCTAATGTATTTTTTTTTACATTCAAGTTCTAATATTTTTAAACTAGAAAATACAGTAATCACGCTCAATGCATACTAAAATAGTAAAATGTAACCGTAGTGTCCATTAATTCTGTCATTCCTTAGAAAAAGCTATTCCGTGGTTTTAAATGAAATATTTACATCTAACAGCTTCTACAGTGTCTTGTATCAAATTATCTTTGATACCTTTGATGTCAGCCATATTAGCAAAGCCTTGGGATTGCAAGTTGATATTTGCAGTAAAATTGGTGTTAAGACCATAAAACTGTATTTTTCTTTTCATGTGGAAATAATGGAATAAAACCTAATTCTTATACATGTAGTAAGAGTAAACACTTCCAAATTATCTGTCTAGATTAATTTGATTGTCAACGAATTCCCTCCACCTATATTACCAAAATTATTATATGGCAATTGTAACAGGAAGTGTTTTAAGAAGAGAGTACGATGTGGAAACAGTTAAAGGAATAATTACCTGACTCTCCCACTAATAATGTATGCTTAGTGTATTCAATGACCTTTCGTGCTACGCCAATTGCATTTTTTACACGTCTGAGATCCGCAACTGCCCCAACTTCCATAGTGTTGCTGGAAACAAGAAATATTTAAAATTTATTTAAAATACAAGAACAAGTACATTTTTCATTAGACAAAATTTGTTCTCATCTGATTGCTCCTTTAAAATGATGCTTCAATTGTTCCATGCCATAGACAGATGGCATCACACTAGTAGGGAACAGCTTCATACATATATTGTTTCTTCTCACAGCCACGGGGATGTTGCTCAAGTAATAATAACTGCATCCACAGTAATATTTTCAGTAGAGTAACTATTCTGTTACATAAACTCTTAACATGAACCAAACACTTGCAATTACTTTTAAATCAGGACAGCTTTAAATGATAAATCAAGTACAGAAGACAATTGCTGCAGAAGTGAAATATTTATAGAATGAATGTAAAGGGAAAGCTTACAATGCTACAAACCATCTGCTTTGCAACTGCTATATCTAGAGCTGGATTACTACACTACTAGTAAAGATTCAGTAACAAACATGCTTAACTGCTCTTCCACCAAGCAGGTATTTTTCCTAGTACTACAAGTTAACATATAGCTTGTCCCATAGTCTGCCCTAAACCAGCAAGATCTCCAAAAACCCTTACATTAAAGTGTGCTAAAAATGACAAGAGATCACTCTTTTCTCCATGTAGTCTTCTTACCCATCCATAATCATTGCATCCAGTGTTGTTTCTCCACTTTCATCTGGGCTTCCTCCATATCCCACACTCCCATCGCATTGGTCAATCTCACACTGACCACAGCCTCTCTCAACAGCATCCAGCTCTGAACCTCCCAACTGTAATACTGTCCAGGCTGTAATCAACACAAATAATTAAATGTCATCAGTGAAAACAGTCTCCACTATTACTTTAAAAAACATTTTAAAGATGAACATGATGAAGATGCACTACATAAGTGGATTTTAAAAAGTAAACTTATAGGTGAAATAAAGTAAAAATAGAAATATATTCCAAAGAATGTAAAGCATTACTTTTCTAAATAGTGTTTTTCTTGCATATCTGATTAGTGTTTCTGACAGAGAAATTGAGCTTTTTTTCCTGACTGGGAAGGTGCTATTTACTAACAACCATCACAACTTCTATACCTTAAATAACCTCCTCTGCTCAGAAGCAACCATTACCGTATCATTTTTTGTTTAAAGCCTTTTGGGGGGGAGATACAGGGGGAAGCAAAAATTAAAAAAAAAAATAAAATATAACAAGCAGCCCTCAAAAGCTTCATATGAGAATACTAATTGTCCAGCTGCTGCAGAATAAAAATATCTAAACTTATATAAGTAACTACATACGAACAAAAAGAAAGCAAAAATTATATACAAGGAATTAGTCTCCACATTCTCCTATTTAATCTTTAGTCTTCTGTTCTTCAGTATCTAGCTCATGGTGCAGTTTGGTAAGACAAGAGTGCCAAATGACAGGACTTGAATAAACTGGGCCTGAAGGCTTTGCGTATATGACATTTCACAAGGTTAGACCTCAGGCAAGATTTTCCAAGATGCCTGAGCTTGCTGTCATTGACAGTTGTAACCCCACTTCCTCCTCCTTATGCTGGCTCTGGTGCTCCATCATCTGCCGGACCCAGCACAGGGGACACAGCAGAAGCATACAGCCCAAGTCTCCTATGCAGGAGTAAGCTATTACACTGTCTCAACCATCTCAAGAAGCCTCATCTTCACAAATGCTACATGATACTGCATGAAACTGTATGCATCAGGGAAAAAGTAAGAGTTAACACCTAACATCCAACTCCACATATGTTTGCCTTTATAATAAACATCAATGTGAGGTGTATTGCTTCAATTCCTATTATCTTTATTGTTGTGGGTAGCCTTAACATTAGTTTTCAAAAGCAAAAAAGCAAGGGCCTTGCAGTTCTCATGATTGTATTTAACTTCCAACCTATACAAGACTTTATAGGTAACCCATTTCACTAGCAAGGCTTCCCTAGTAAGAGGTTATTTACAACTTAACTATACTAAAATAGCCTATTAGTCTTTTAAAATCAGTATCTACAACTAATTTATCACACCATAGGAAAGCCTGTTTTGACTGTCAATAACACATCACAACATAGAGCTCCAAAAACTCTACCATTCACAGCTTCTGAGGCAAGAATGAATCTCAGAAGGGTACCATTAAAAAGCTACCACTGTGAACAGCTACAAAAGTCTAAACCACGATATTAGCAAAAGAACGTTTTTAATTTAACTTTTCCACAGCTCATACCGCTGGTCCCACTTTCGTTTTTCCTCCTTTAAACGCGTATTTCCCAGCCTTTAGAGCTAAAACATTTGCTTGCTGGCTTTTCGGCAACACCAGGGCTCAGGGCTAGAACACCACCAATGCAAACGCAGGCTCAGAGGTTTGGCGCCTTCCCATACCACAGCCACCTGGCAACTCGAACGCCGGCCGGCGCCAAGCTACCTCGGGATCTCGAGACCCGACACAGGTCCTTTCCAGAAGACGGAAGGGGGAAAAAAAAAAGAAGAAAAAAGAAAAAAAGAAAAAAAAATCGAAGACAGGCGGCACTTCACACAGCTCCCTGCCAGTACCGGGGCTCGCTCACTTTCCGTGAGTAGATCGGGGCAACAAGGACAGAGCCCAGACCCGCTACAGGAACAACCGCTTCACGGAAACAGGATCACAACCCTGCACTTCTTGCCACATACATGCCTATGAGACTTTGTTTTTAAGCCAACACCACCCGGA